ATTATCAGAATAGGGTTTATCAGATGGGTATATCCCAGGGGTTTTATCAAAGAGGGCTTATCATAGGCGGTATGAGCAGGGGCTAATCAAAGGTGAACTAATCGGAGGGATGTTATTGGAGGAGGCGGGTCTTGTGAGGAAGCTTACGGAAAAAAATTTCCTCCTACAACTCAACTCAAGGACTGACGATCATGTCACCACTCCTTACAATGTTGTATGTGGTCAAGAAAACAAATGGCGAGAAAGGAAAAAAAAATGAAAAAACTAATAGATATTGTCTTGAAAGAACAACTTCTCAAGACTAAGGTAACGATTATGTGTGACAGCCGCTAAGTTGAATAAGTAATCAGCTGTTGTTCTAACGTTTCCTACCGTTTAAATCTGTCAAGGATATCGGTAGAACAGCCATTACTGTTACTGAACGTCATCACAGAGCGAAGACGGTTGATATCGACATCTGTCGTGCCTCCGGACAGTAAAAGCTGAAAATCCTACAAAGAAAAGGAGGAAAAAGGACCAAGCATGTGAATCTAGGCGTGAAAACTTGAGGCATCGAATCTAAGTTTCACCTCACGCGGCAAACAAGACGTAATATTGACAAACTGCTGGTTATATGACTGACGGCTCACCTCTGGTGTAAGAGATGTTAGGAGTTCAGATGGAATGACGTCATTTAGTCCACTCCTCATGGCTCGTAGTTCGTTCTCTACACAGCCGATCATCACCTTGGTGGCATACAGTCTAAACAAAGAAAAGACATGAATTTTTTATTGTCATAATTATCATTATTAAAATAACGATAATGATGGCAATCATAATAACAATAAAATAAAATATCAGGAGCTTTTCGCTTTCACAAGGTCAATACTGCATCGAGAAATCTTGATGTAAAGTACTTTGATAATTTCAAACCATTACACGCCTTCTAAACAATTCATTTTGAAACTGTTTTAAACCCAAATAACACCTTGTCACGTAATTCCAGTTCTACGAACTCACTGAAAAAGTAACACATAAATGTTGCTACAACTGGCAGTGAAAAGGCTTCGAGCTTCTTTCTTACTGGGACTCCAATGGTGTCTCCATAATTTTGTGCGTTCGGACACCCCCCCCCCCCTCTTCCATCTCAAAATTCTATAATAGCATGTCAACATATTGAGGTAACACCGTTGCATCAACCAATTCAGCCATTACATGTATGTCCCGTTCAGACAACAAGTTTACCCTTTACCTAACATATTTGAAGATATTGTCAGGCGTCACCGGAATCTGCGAACCTCCAGGGATGAGTTCTTCTGTTGTACCGCCCACTGACGTCTGCAAGCGCAAAATGATATTATAACTGGGTTATTTTCTGATCTATCGACATGCGTGTATCTCTGAAGAAATATAACTATCACTCTACGAACAGCGGTCGGTAACTAATCACTACCCGATAATGGGGGAAATTCGTGGATGTGGGCGCGACCGTACAATGGGACGAAACTTCCGATCACCGTAAGACCAATATGTTGTTTTGACTCGTACCTCAAAATGGCAGCAGTATGTGGCCTGAAAGCGTTCTGAGGTCATCAATGGGTGCGTGGTATCCAGAATCATACTACTGAGTCCCTCAAACAGGTCAGCATTGAAAAACGCCAGGTCCTCCCAAGTCACATCTCTAAATAACAAAAAAAGAAACAACAACAATATGAACAGAATATTGCGATCTGTTCGATTATTGCTGCGACTAGTGTAGGAAGTCGCTCTGTCAGCGGTTGGGTACTTTTTACCTTTTTACGAACGCAAAGTCCAATTTTTCAAGCAGGCATTGAAAAAAAGGTTTCGACAGTTCGAATTAGGAACTCATCGTGCTTTAGAGTCTCACCAGACTGCCAGCTCGATTTCTACAAAATTTCTGGAAAGCTTGAAACGCCCTTAAATGATAAAGTTACAGTATTTAAGTTCTTTCCAACAACAGTACCTTTCCAGTAGAAATTTAACCACGTGTCGGCTGAAGTTCAATGGCACAGTGACACTGAACCAAAGGCTCAAACCGATGAAACGACCAATGGCGGTGAACATCTTAAGGCGACGATTCTAAAACAAATAAAAACAAGGTTAGTTTACAAGTTCCTAAATTTCTGGGCTAAAACGCTCCGCTCTTTAGTCCCTCTCCCCTCAGGAGTACTCAGAGAACAAGATAGTTTGACGCAAACTAATCAAGAAGCTTCAATCAGAGGCTGAAGTAATTGAGACGCACAGAAAAGAAGAGGTTTTTGACAAAGCCAGGTTTTGCAAATATCATAAGGCGACCAATGAGATCTCGGAGTGTTAAACTAAACAGACTTCCTTAAGCACGGGCAAAAGCCTGGGATCGAGTTAAGTTCGGTTTTAGTAGTAGATTTGATTAGTTCAGAGACATGTTATGGAAGCAGCCAGCCTCGTTCCCAATAGTGGAGAGTCTCCACGTCTCTTGTTTCATTGCGCGCCACGCGGCTCGGCCGTCTATTTAAAAGACTCAAGCTAAACAAAGCGGTTTTTTCCGCAAATGCATGGCTCAATCAAGGTAGGCTTAACTGTGATAAAATACAACGAGAACAAAGTTTTCGTCCTTAACAAGTGCTGCAAGGAGCATATACTTCTCCAACAACAATGTGAAGCTAGCCAGAATTTAAAGGCATCGTATGCCATGTTAACATATCATTACCTTGATATTATTTTCCTCTGGAGACTTGTCAGAATAAGCAAATGGCTTGGGTGCATAGAACCCGCTTTGTTCCGGCAGCTTGCCTGGCTCGTGAAGTAAAGTCGTGGTTTCAACTGGAAGCTGAAAATAGGAAATGTGTAAAGCAAAGGACATTTATATGCATCAACGTTCGCAATCTATCGTTTTAATGGAATCTTTAAACTCAGCTTGTCTATAGAGCTGAGACCATACGACGCTGCGACGAGTAGGACAAATACATGCAAAGTTTGCAATCTTGAATCAAGTGGGGCGCACGAACGCGCGTTATTTAAGCGGTAAAAAAAGGTACATTTCGTCGACTTTGCAAAAAAAGCGTTCTGGAAAAAGCACTTTTTAATCACGAAAGAACCGTCCATTTCATTCGACTAACAGTCGAAACGTCAAAATCCAAATCGCAGAGTCCGAAAAACGACAACACTTCAGTCCTGGTGTATTTCACCACGATTAATAACAACGATAATTTTGGCTACAAAAATTACCTTTTCGTCCGTTTTCAGGGCATTGGCCATGGCAGCGAAGAATCCCCGGTTCACACCAGGCCCGGAGCCCTCCTCTCCCTCGAACTTGACTCGAAGGTTGCTGTAGTGACATGTGGACATCTATGAAAAGAAAAGAGAGGAGGGGAAGGACATTTCAGCATTGCATTTAAGAGAGCCTTGAATCACAAAATGATAATCTTAAAAACGACGAATTCCAACAAATGGCCTTAAACATTACCTCGCCGAGTATTCTTAGAGTATTCTCCTGTATCTTTTGTCTTTTGATTGTCAGAGTTAGGGTGGTGCTGACCCTCGCACCCAGTCCTCCATACGATCCCATCTGTTGCGATTCACTCGAGATAGATTCACGGAGATACGACGCAGCTCGGCGGAACCTGAGCACCAAAAGTATGGTGGAGTCAGTTTGTATAAAATGGTCGAAAAGATGAATTCATCTTTGAGAAAAGAAACAATGAGCGCATGCCTACCTTGCTAATCTTCCCGCCACACCAGCGCGGGCCGCCAGGAAACTTTCTCGTTCGGCCCCAGGCCCATCTGCCAGAAAGAGGCGGGAAAACAAATCCACAGAGATCTTCCACCTGCTTATCACTTGATCAGGAGACCAATTTGTTACTAGGGGGGAGGGGTAGGTATGCCTGTTGAAATATAAACAACGAGTTAGCATCACTTAAGGCTTGGTTTTCCCCAAAATGTTCAAAGAATGAGTTTTATTTTTAAATTTAATTGGTTGTAAAAAAAAAGGCGTGAAAGTTTTTTCCGGCAAATCACTAAGCAAAGTGAAGCAAAATGAACGCAGCCCAGGATAAAAAAATGAAATGCAATCGAAGATTTCTCTTTTCATTTAGTATCTTATCGCAATGACAAGGCTCGATATGTTTGGACGCGAACGAGGGAAACTGGGTCTAGCAAAGAAAGGTGAGATTTACAAGAATTTAATAACTAATAGAAAGAAAAACTGGGGAGCGTTTAACTCGTTTACGAACTTCCATCACAAACTAATGCTCTTGTTCTAGTAAGAGCCTCTGCCGAAAAAGAAACCAAAACGAACAACTTGAAGTTCAACCACCAAAAGACTCTTTTCTTTTTTACAATCTATTTCACGCGATTGACCCGAAGCCAGTGTTTCTATCTGTTACTGAAAGTGGGCAATTAGTGCAAACAGTACTTACGATCCCATCGCGCTAAACGTAGTGGGTAGTCCGCTTTCCTCCTCACTTTCCTTTTGTGACGTCAGATTTGGGTCCTCAGACTTCTGACGTGCCAAAGTCACATTATGAGCGAACACTTCCCAAGATGCTTTAGGTACCTTGGGGAACTTTTGCTGAATTGTATCTTGCAGACTGGTCAGAAACTTCTCTCTGTCACCGTGCATAACGTCCATACCAAAGAACTTTATGATAGCTTCTCGCTCATGGCTATGACGCCGCCACCGCTTTGATTCTGTATTGGGTGAAGACTTCGTTTCCAGGCCCAAAGGTCCATCTTCGGGCTGCGAAGGCTGAGAGAAACTAGGGCTAGAGTCATCTCCATCGTTGCTTGTCATGGAAATTCTACGGTCGAGGGTTGAAGCCAGCCGAGGCCAGTGCGTCATGGAGTAAATAAAGGCGTCCAGAACATACACAGTATGCTCATAACTAAGAAATTAAAAAATGAGGCCCTCAAGACAGATATTAAAAAAACACAACAGGCCCCGGTTGTTCCAAGGGTGGATAACAATTTCCACGGATACATCTCTACCAGACGGATACCGCAGTACGTTTTGGCATCTCTCATCCGCTGGATAGCGATTTTCCCTTCGGTAGCTTTATGCGCCCTTTCAACAACTGAGCCCAGTAGTATTTTTCTTTAAAAGAATAAAATGCGTGAAGCATCTAAAACCTTTTGATACCTTTTCCACCTTTCATGTGGAAAGAACAAGGCCTACCAACCGAGACAAACGTTTGAAGGGTAAATATAACAATTAAATTTTTAGTGAAATCGGATGTGAAAGAACCTGAAACTTCTTAGTAAGCTATCCGCTTATTACAGGCTTCATGTAAAACACTTGCCTAACTATCGACGTTTGCCTCCTCTTAATAGGAGTGTCCGCTGAGACTATGTCTCTCAAACAGTAAAAATGAAAAAGAAAAAAAAAACTTACCAAAGCATATCCACAACAGGGAGCGAGTCCTTGTGTTCATTATTATGAGCCCTTAGCAAGAACATCAAATATTCTTCAGGAGAAGCCCCTGGTATGGTCGACATAGATCTTCCCAACAAGGCCTGCTCTGCGTCTTCAGGCCGCCGAAGAGACGCAAGATATCGCTGGAAAAGAAATATAATATACAAAAATTTTACAGAAGAAGGAAATGCGTACGCCAAGATAGGGACAGGACTCGTAAACATGATTTCCCTCAATTTGAAATAAGCGTCCTGGGCGCTAATTCGAGGATTACCGTTAACCTTCTAAACCCAAAGGGTGACCAGTATCAAATCTTTTTTCTATTCTTTTTTTTACATTAATACTGCTTAACCATTCATTACGGTTATGAGAACAAGGGAAATGATCGCCAACCAGAGAAGCTTGGATTTTTATAGAAATATTCCTTGTCATTACCAAATGAATTGGATGGAGAGGTGAATAGCGAATATAGAAACTGTTAGGGTACTAAGGATTACGACAGTGTATCGTGAGATTGTTAGTTGTAACGTAAAGACCAACCTTGGTATCAAAATCTTTGCCCATTCGCAACTGACCCTCTACCACATCAAGCACTCCAGCCAGCCACAACCATGACCTCTCGAGGACGGACATAACATGGTTCTGAACGGACTGACGTTCTTGCTGGGTTATAGTAAGGGAGGGCAGCATGGCACTCCCCTGCTGTGTAGAATAGGTGTCTTTAGTGAGAGTTGTCATGAGGACCAAGGTTTCCTTCACCAGCCTCGAGAACATTCGAGTCAAGTAGCAATTTCCAGTATGGACGCTGGGAGGCGAAACGACGGGGGCCGCCCATTGTGGAATCTGAAGCAGAAAGAGAGGGATATCTTGAGCGTGTTACTTGCGAAAAATCACTCAGGAAGATAGGAAATTTGGGGAAAAAAAAACAACGAAGAGAATAGCAAAGACAGGAAAAAAATAACAAACACAAACGACCACATCGAACACAATCATACCCCAAAGGTATTAAAAAAACATTTGACCTGTCGTTGTAAATGATTGAGTTGCCCTCTTTCAAGTGTACAATGAAGCTCAAGTTTATCCTGGAACTTTCTTAAGACTTATAGGTGTTCGAATACGCAAAGAAAATCAGATCCCCTCCGCTGGCTTACGGAATGCGTTATTGTAAACAATTTCGCCATGGGAAATGGATGAGAATTTGAAATGAAAGCAGGGATAAAAACCAATCTGTCGCTGTTAGGTATGCAAGGTGAGCTTACTGCATTGATTTCCCGATCGAAAACTTCTAAAATGTGCTTGGAATTCCGGATTTAACCACGGGGTGCCTAATTAGATTATGTCGTTACGTAAATGACGATGTTGCGATTTTCACAAAGTTCAGCCTGGTTTTTCCGTGCGGAAATGAAAAGCCCCAAAGTAATTTTTATATCCTCGAAAAGAACACTATTTCCACTTATCATGAGCTTAACCTGAACCGATTCTGAATTATACCGCATAAGGAAAATGATAATTGAAAATTTGCTACGAAATGCGATATTTGGATTTTGAAATATTGTTGATTTTAAAAAGCGTTCCGTGATGTCAAAATCAAATGAAACGGTCCCGTTTTAGACTTAAGCCACACCTCAATCCCTCCTATACAAATCTGTCAAATTGATACGGGCCTGTTCTCTTTTGCGTTTTTCATGAGCAAAGTTTATTTGCTTCCACTTGGGGCACTGATTTCCGCCATTTTACGGCTACTAACGCTCGTTTCAGTTTTCGTGAATTTTCTAGGATAAAGAAGCAAGTCTGGGAAAAAAAAAAAACCTTGCCAAGTTTCTGAGTTCACTAAAAGGTACCTCTGGGCAAAATATGAAGGTTTTCAAATTCTCGATCACGTGCCACATTTTCCGATTTTCACTCGGTCGATTAAAACATTCGCTCTTAAGGTCACTTACGGTACAAATACTATTTTTCAGCTTTTATCATTTGCGACTTACGTGAATATGTCCGGGCAAGTTGTTTCCTTCAATCAAACTGGCAACTCGGCCATCCAGAGCCCAAGCATAGGGGTGGTCATGGGTAATCCCTGTCGTCACGGAAACAGACCGCTGATCTCGCTCGTCCAGTTCCATGTCGCTGTCACCGTCGCCACTTAAAGCTCCAACGTGATCAGTTTCGTCAGCAGAATCACTGTCGCTGTCGACAAGGGAGTTCTTTTTGCCATGTACCCTGGAAACTTCAAAGGGAGAGGCCCTGAGGGGACTTGGAGCGTGCTTCTTATTAGCGATCCCAGAAGGTCCTTCAGAAATGTCTGCTAGTCTGATACCACGGCACGCTGAGGAATTCTCTGTAATATTGGTTTGTGAAATCCTAATGTAGAACACATAAAAATATAAAGTCAAACACAGGAAAAAAAATTTAGAGGGAAACCAAAGTGGGTATGGACTGCGAAGGCCTCTAAATACGGCTCCTTCTTAAATGCACTCTGCTTGATTAACCTCCTCTCTAATAAGCCCCCATTTAAATAGGCCCTTACCCCCTCCTCTTCAATAAGCGTCTCTGCAAGGAAGGAGAAAAAAAGTATGACCCCCCACCCCTCCTTGGAAATATTGAGAGAGTTTATTCTGGAAACATTATTCATACGTTTCACCGAAAAAAAAAATTATCGAGAAAAGTCCAAATCTTTCGGGCTAAGTTGGATTTACAATAGTGGATTAAAAAAAAAATCCATTTTGAAGCTGAACTTACCTCTGAGCTGTCCTGAGCGGCGGATCTTGTGGTCTGGCACTTAAATCATGAGGACCCACTCGGATTCCTGCAATTTATAAATTAGGTTAAATTTTCCCAAAAACTCTGTAAAAGGTATGATTGCTGTTCTTTGGAGTTTACATTACGCACTTGTGGAATTCTCTCCGTAATACTTTACCTGGTCTAAATCGGAACCTTGCACCGGGAAATCCATTGGGGTTGGGTACATTGTTACTCACAGACGAACCAGTAGAGCGAGCTTGGGGTTTAGCCACACCCTCACGAACGGGAAGGACAGACGCTTCAGCAGCCTGAGTCAGCTCGTGAACAGCAAGCCATGAGAACGAGCGAAGGATCATTCTACAATCATAACAGGATGTGACGTCATTGATAAGAGCGCATGTAAATAGTAAGAATACAGCGAAACAACACACACATACAATGAAACCTCATGCAGTATATAGTCACGTAACGCATCGCATGACGAGTGTCCTACTTCATGTAGAGATGGTGGAACAATCACACTAAATGCGTTGAGGCGTCAGGTAAAAAATAAATCAAAGCAATTCCAGATTACTTTCGACGAAATTCAGTTCGAGACTGCTCTTCCTCACTAACCTGACTTTCTTCTTAAACTGTACATTGTCCCCCTGACTGCTTCTGGAAGTGGACGTTGAAGGACTGGACCCAAGGCGAGTCCGGAGGTCGACGTAAGACAAGCCAGAGCGACTGAGATGAACAGCCAATTGACGTATGACAGACCGCAGGAACTTCATCCCCACCATCATGGCGACATCTGCAGCACTTGGATCGCCTTGCAACTGGGCGATTCGATGAACAGCATCCAGCGTCAGGTTTTGGGAATGCTTATTCATCTCATCGACAATCATCTCCACAAAAGTCATCAGGACAGCTTCATCAGAGTGAGAGAGCAACTCAAAGACAAACACATCCATGATGCAAGAATCTACTGGGCTACATCGAGATGGACCTTTTCGGGGTAAGTCACCGGAACCCCTTGGCTCCTTCGTCATGTGCACATCTGAGTGCACCGATGAAGTGCCAAAAGGGTAGTAACCCAGTACCGTTGACACCACGGAGGGCCAACTTTGTATGAGTTGTATCAAAACTGGTAGACTTTCACCAGGGAGGTCATCAGGAACAACTGATGTACTAGGAGGAAATCCTATCAAGTCAATACTCTCTGCTGCATTTTCGCTAGCTACATCCATTGGTGTTTCGTTTTCACCAGATGTCGACTCATTGCCAGGCAGCTTCTCCTTGTCCTTCTCGTCGCCTGTCTGAGGATTCTGCGTTTGTTCCTGCGGTTGTTCAGGCAGCTGACATCGCCTCTCCAAAGCCTGCAGTGTGTCCACGATGCTTCGGAAGCTGCTTGAGATGTCGTCTAGCTGGGCTAGAAGGTTAGTTTCCAGCATGGTGGTATCTGAAACACCAGTGATATTGATTTCTGTCATTATATCGCCTTCCTGTGGAGAGCGAGAGACATCTTGCTGGGTTGCCTGTTCTCGCTTCACGGGAAAAGCTACGTCTTGCCCAAACAACATGCTGCCGTATTTAGTGAGACGCTGTTTTTGGCTTACGCTAAGTTTTATCCAACGAGAGTTGTTCACCAGGAAAGCTAAAGCTGTCTCGCCCTCTCTGTTTGTGGCTGTGGCAATCTGAAACAATGTAAGTCACGTGATAATACGTATGATGAACCAAGAATAAAAATCAGTAAAATGCACTTCTCGACTAAAACTGGCCAAGGATAGCTGGTAGGTAAGCGCAATACAGATAGCAACCTACAGAAACAGTAAATTCTCAGAACCTACGCATTGTGAACTATGGAGTAACGAAGGAGAATTCAAATTTCGATCATGTTCGCACAAGGACAAGAAGTTTGCGTCACAAGATGATGAAGATTCGCTGCGTCGCTACGGTTTATTTCGATATCGCTTGTAAAACACTCCCTTGGTAAAAATATATCGCTTCCCAACCCTCTTGATGCTGATGGAACAAAACATTCCTTGACTGCGAAAATCTTGAAAATTGACGAAAAACTTCAATTACTCACCTCTGGATATGGCAAAAGACGGCACACAAGCTGGCATATTAATCTATCTTCTCCTTCCTAAAAAAAAAAAAAGAAGAAAGAGAGAGAGAGAAAATTCAACACCGAAAACAACCTCAGTAAAGGAAAAGGAGGTTTTAATTTACGCTTGCATAACGTTTTTTAGCACGTGAAGTTGGCGGGCATGAAACCATCTCGGGTCACATTCGATAAGCATGTTACGCATAAACGACGTATAGCTCAAGAACTTAGTCCGCACAATGGCGCCAAAAATGTTCCGCTAATTATTAAATTCCAGTTACAATTAGTTTAAAAAAAGAGGCTGATTGATTCACTGCAAACAGAATAAGATGAGGCACAACATGTGTGAGTTACTTTGGGCAGGTTATTGGAACCAAGTCCAACATGGGTTCTGGTTTTAGACAATGAATAGGCCAAGTGGTTCTTTTTTCTTGACTGGAATGTTTAAAGCAGAGCAGTGTAAGTCTTCTTGATACTGTTCATGCACAAAAATCAACACTTACACAAAAATTTGATTTAGAACACATACCAAACAACAGCTAAAAGTTCATGCTATAACCGGCTCTTTAAGTTCACGTTTCAACTAGTTTTCGCAAAGCTGAATAGCTTGAAGAATGTTATAAGCGGGCAAGGGCTACATAAGCACTTAATGCCTCAATAAAGATGCGATTGTTGTTTTTAATTACTATCGTTATTAGTATTCCTATCAAGGTCGTCATTATTATTATTATTATTATTATTATTATTATTATTATTAATACAATCCTTGTGTCATGATTACAATTATTACTACTGCCATCATGATCATAATTTGTTATCATTATCATTCACTATTATTACTATTTTACCACTGTTATCATCATCATCATCAATATCATTATTACCTTCTGGCTAGGTTTAACACTGGTAGCTGACTGTGACTTTGGACTAATCTTGGGTACTCCGTCAACATTGGATACATTATACACTCCCCCCCTGACACCCACCTCCATCTCGTTCTTCTCAGACGCCTCGTTTTCCACCTGGAGATTAATCCGAGGCTAAAATATTAGTTACAGTGATGAAAATATATCTCTAACAGTTTAGGTCGCAATATGCAGGAAATAATCCTTTTTATTTCCCGTCTCAGTTACACCAGGATGTACTCTGCGAGTTCCGTTGGAATTCAACTCTACTTTTGTGCCGAAATCTCTGTTAAGGACAAATAAGTGGTTTTTTCCTTTTAATTGCCGGTTAAGACCGGTGTTGACGACAAAACGATGATTTAAAATTGACTCGTGTTGCTTTCGACGTGCGTCAGTCATTCAAGCCGTTACACGTCACTAAAAATTGTTTCCTGAACCAGCTTGACGCGCTGCAGGGATGTAATAGACACCCCTTACTTACTAAACGAGTTCGCGGTCTGTATAAGTCAAGAATCCAAGAGTCGCGATTCGGCCATAAATCGAAGGGGGAGAAAGTTTGTCCGCAACTGGACAGTACAGAACTCGATCTCGAGGCCACCTGGTCAAGAAGGGTCTTTGATTGTAAGGTAGAGCTGAGCTGTAAGGAATTACTTTCTTACAAGATTTTAACTACAAACCTCAGTGAGTTTGACATGCAGAACATGTTGCACCAAGCTGGCGAGTCCACCTTCAGGTGCTGACATCTCAGTGGACACCATATGATGATCCATCTCAACCAAAGCTTGTCTCAGTTCTTTAGGATCAGAGAAAGTCACCACTCCTAATGAAAAAATAATAATAATCAGGTATTCAAAAAGCTCAATCGAAACATAGCGGTTTTGAATAACAAGGCATCAGAGAAGGCCAGGAATTTGAGTTTATATAACTCCTGCAGAATTATTGCTCCGTGATCAAGGGAAAATCAAGCTGCACAAAAGAGAATGAAACTCAAAATAGGCTATGTATAAAAGGCATTACCTCTCAATTTTGAACTTAACACAACTGATCTCCGGTGAATAAAGTGACATGTAGTTGACACGATAATTAAGTGTTCCATTGGAGAAAGAATTGAGGGCGTAGGGGATGTCATCGTTGAAACAGCATTCGCACTAGATTCGCGCGCAACTCTTGCACACCTAACTGCTGGCTTAAAAGACGCTGGTTATGCAGCTTATCTTAAAATACCTCCCTTTACACAGTTTTTGCTGTTATTATTGTTTCGTTATCTTTTTCCATTTCGTCAAAAATAAAGACATTCACGACTCTTATCCCAGACGCACCGATTCGATATCCTTTTCGGTAAGTGGCTGGCCTATCATCTGATAAATAATTCCTTACCCGTTAAAGACTCTCGTCGACTGCTGACGACGGGAATCCGCCCTCCTCCCTCCACATATCGCCTTGACCACGGATTTCCATTCCCACCAGATGTGGGTGGTGTCAGTAAGTTACCTTTCTTTGCCTCAGTGGGTTTCTTCTTGTGCGAATTCTTCGCTTGCATAGCGAAAAATTTTTCAGTAACCTTATACTTTGGGAACTTCGCGCGACAGACCTAAAAAGAATACACAAGACCTGAAGTCCTGACGCAAGGATACTTTGCAATTTGGTGTTCAAACAAGCAATATTTCTCGTTGATATTTTCCTTTCTACACGTCCCGAAAAAAGACTTTTCGGAAACTCTTCGGGGGATCTGGGGGGGGGGGGCCTTTATTTTTATATTTCCCGACCAGCGGCCGATAATAGTGCCCATTTGTCACTTTTTTTTTCCGAACATGTATTGATATTCTCATAAGAATTGGCAATTAATTTCACCTTTCTTCCCTCCATGTCCATAGGTGGTATGGTGGCTCTGTAAACTGACGGATATCTACTTTGAAACAGCTTCAACAGAATCCTTGGGGTGTAACTGGAAGGCAGGTTGGTCACAGTCAAGCTGTTTCCCAGTCCACTGGGGGAAAGATTCTCTGTGCAGGCAACGGCGAGAGCATGAAGAGGTGTCATGCCATTGAATACTCCTGGGAAGATCATTTCCTTCAAGGAGCAGTTTTCTGTGGAATGCGAAAAATGTCACAAGTACAATTACTTCATCTTTAATAAGTAAAACCTCTATTTGCCCTTTACCCCCGGACATCAGTGTACAAATTATCCACACTGTTCTCTATACATTTCCTAAGGTGCTAACAAGAGGAATTTGTTCAACAATCAAGAGCTTTTTAGTTGGTGATTATTTCCTTTACTCTCGTGACCTTAAATGTGTGATTCAGGGGTGATATTGTAAGGAGAAATTAGATGTTAGTCAATCTTAGGGGTTAAAGCTTTAAAAGCCCTCTCAGGGGTTTCAATACTGATTTTTTTCCATCAGCGCCTGCCGATGGTGTTATTAGCGGCTGTGCACGGAAAAGGGGCCGTAAGGGAAACAAAAAAGGAGCTTTCGTTTAGGCAGTAACTGGCTCTTATCGAAACCACTTCCTCTGTGATATACATTGTACATTAGCCATTTATCCTTCGGGTGAGAAAGAAAATGTGAAAATCTCTTACCCAAGAAGTCAACACGTTGCGTCTAGTTTGCTAACCATTACGATATGTCATAATATCTAATTCTTCGCTAGAAACAAACAAGCAAACGAACAAAAAGTACACCCTAACTACAGCCACTTCTACTGCTATACCTTTGTTTTTCTCCACAAAATCCAGAATGTACACAGCAGCCTTAAAGTTGTGGCACTGGATAGCTGTCATGAAAGGAGTGTTCCCACACGCATCTCGTCCTCTCAACTGAAAGACAAAAACCAATATTTCTTCCACATGCAGTATGGCAGGATGGTTAACGACAGCGTTAATCTGTGCAAGCTCAAGGTTACAGTCACGCGTTTCTGCCGACGGTCCTTGTTGCAGTAAAAACAGGAAACATTTTTAATCTGCTTTCCGTTGTTGACTAGGTCTCAATCACCATTTTGAAACATGTGGTTAATTCATGATCAAAACTAACCAGACAATAGATGGCCTCAGATGTACTTGTAGTCAATATATACAATTTCCATGCATATCCCCCATTTTTTATTCATCACAATACTTGAATAAAAAGAAGACGATTTCAGGAAAGAAACAGGAAATTATAGAATTCTCGCAATATTTGCTGTATATCAAAGAAAAGCTTATCTGAAATGCAATCCGTGATCGTTTTTAAAAATGAAAAGGGCGTAATTTGAATGAGTGTCTTAAAACAAAACCAATGTAGCTGCGTGTAGTGGACATGGCCTTTTTCTACTTGAGTCAAATTATTCGCAGACTGTGTGTAATTTAAAGTGCGTGTAAAAGTTCATGTAAATTTTACGGGTGCGTTTTGTTATTCCTGAGGCCAGTAATGTACTAACAGCACCCAATCAGAGCAAAATAAATATCACCAGGAGCCAATGAGAACTTGGAGTAAAGAAAAAAGGGAACTTGTCCAAAAGCGCGGGAAAACGCGGTGACAAAGTCGCGTTTGGTTTTAGTTTTAAATCTGATTGGTTAAAAGAGTGGCAGGACTTCCATAAACAAATCTCAGAACGTAGTTAAGCAGAACCAATGAAATGTTGAATTACTTTTGACGTTCAATTGAAAGTTGCTCGGAAAAAATGGGCTTACCATTGGCACAAATTCTTTGGCAAAAACAGAATCGTTCAGCAATATATGCAATCCTCTCACTTCTGTTGGCAATTCTTCTCTGCTCTCGGAACCTTTCACATCTTCTGGCATTTCTTCTCTGCTCTCGGAATCTCCTTCAGTAGGTAAAGTTGCTTCTGAAAAACAAATAAAAGTTACACCTTAAGAATAACATAGCAAACTCAAGTCCATGTTTTCTTTGAAAAGACAAAAATTTAGCAACAGATTATACCTGTACCCTTACTGCACTTCTTGAGAATATTATTGAACCAATCTCGGTTCTCAGTAAATGTTGGATTGCTACAACAAATGTGCAACAAATTTTGATTTGAGGTGGTATGCTGATGGAGCAGCTGTAAAACTCTCTTGTTGATTACGATAGTTTGTCCAGCTGGCTCTCCGTGAACTTGACCGTTAGTATCAGCGATGGCAACCTTTTTGGATCCCTTCACCATGCTCTTGTTAACCTTCCCGATATCTTTGCTGTTGTTCAGCTGTTTTAAGAAGTTCAGCGCTTCTTGGATTCGTTCTACCACGCCAGATTGTACAGCTTGTATAAGGTGTTGCTCTTGGAAAGCTGTGAGAAAAAAGGAATGGCGTTTAAAAACAAAAATTGGAACATAAGTATGGTTTATTGGCGAAGTTTTGTCCGTCAAGCTTTCTATTGTAGATATTTCCCAAGTGTTTTGTTTGGATTAGTTTTGTCTGCTTTTCTATGGAACGTGATAAAATCCACAAAAACGTAAAATATCCCCACACATCTTAACCGAACAACCTTATTCTTTCAATGGCGTGGGAAGAAATAAAAAAAACGGCTCGAAAAACGAAAAGGGCTAGTATCCCAACCATCTTGACCGTACAACCTTCGTCAACTAAGGATTTATAACATGACCAAAATATTGTATCAAGGTTCTCGAAAATAAGTTAATAAAACTCGTGAATTTTACTTTTCACTTTTTACGGAGATTCCATTTCAACCGGAAACACTGAACTTAAAAAAATATTTGACATTTTTAAAAGACATAATTCGACAGTTCTTCTGTCATCTTCAGTTATAATTTTTACAAAGTACAAAGCTGAATCTAAAGTGCAACTCAAACTAAACTTTGTACTTCGTAAAAATTATAACTGAGGATGACAGTAGAACTGTCGAAACATGTCTTTTAAAAATGTTATATATTTTCTTAAATTCGTGTCAATCTGCTCCTATCTAAAAAGTGAACTAAGATCCAATTCATGGACACGCCACTGCCAAACATAATTTGAGGATTGATATTTTCATTTACACTTACAATTGTAACAGAGACAGTGTTTTAGAGAAAATCGTCCCAGAAACAAAATTATACCAACCAATAAATGCTATCAACACTCTTTCAGGTGAAGAATTCTCTGCTGAACTGTGACCTAGTCTTGTTCCAAGACCGAAACTCTGTACTGGAGGAATATCACCCACATTCGGACTTGACAACTTGGTCCCAAACGGTCTTGGGCATAGGCAGCCGTTGACATCCGTCAACAGAACAATGTCATAATCACTTGAAGAGTGAAGCAAAGGAAATTTCTGGTTGGCACTATGGAAGTTACAGGGAAGAAGTCTGTTCAATATTGATGATTCGATATTTGGCGTCGTCTGAGTTGAGTGTAAAGTATCACTGTCAACATCGTCATCATTTTCGTCACTACGCCTCCTTCTCTTTAGCCCAATGATCGGCTTTGGAGAAGTGTCCGAAGGCACCAAAGACACTGGTTCAAGGGCACCTTCCTGGCTTTGGATGGCCTCAGCTTCCACTGTACAAGAACCATCGTCAATACTTGAGGTAACGTTAACATCTCCACTACACGTGTACACCTTACTGCTGTCCACAACTTGTTCCATTGCTGGTCCCATAAAGAACGCTTTCTTATCTGAGAGACGCTGCACGATGAGAGAGATCCCTGTTGATGTGGCTGTCATGGCCACTGGTCTAAATCCAGAGAGAACATCTTTGCCTACCGATCGTGGTGAGCTGCTGACAACACACTTTGGTGCATGTTGAATACAACCTCTATATAACGAACTTGTTGATAAAGATCGAGTTAATGTACTCCCTTCAGCACCCTCGCTTGGTACTGGCTCTAATTCGGATAATTTGAAGACACGTAGTGACGATTCTGATGGTGACATCACGTTTGCGACCTTCACGATAACATGAGGGCCATCAATTGCAGCAACGGTCCCCAACAGTTTGTTTTCGCTTTCAAGAAAAACAACATCTTTGACCTCCCAGATTTCAGAGCCATTACTTGATACATGTGAGAACTGAGCCTTCCTTCTCACACTCGTGTGAGGACTGGAAGATCTTGCAAAGTCCTTTTGGCTGGAAATGAACTCTTCTTCAACAGTCTTCGCTCGTGAAGAATTCGCCGCTGATATATCTATGTCTGTTTGTACTATTCCACTTTCTGGCTTGTCGCTAGAAGCACTTCTCTTGTAAAGTGGTTCAACCTTAATTTTTGTCACAACGGTGCTCGTTCCTTCTGGTGACTCGTGACCAATCAGACGCCCCACTATGGGTCCCCTGACTTCACAGTATTTGTAAACTAAAGCACCAGGGAACCCAGGAAAATGCTGACGAAGCTGAACCTTCTCGTTGACACCGATATTGCTTGATTGATTTGTTGCCTTGCTTAACTTCTGCCTAAAGTTTTGGCGTTCTTCTGCTGGTAACAATCCCCTAAGAAAAAAAAGCAAGTAACCTTGAGTGATCTGAGTAAACAACTGAACAAGGCTTCTTCACAAGTTTACAATCACCATAATTAACAATCATTCATAAAAGTGAAAGTAAAAATCCACTTTTTGACCGATACTAACTGAAGGTAAAAAAAAAATTGTTTTAGACTAAACCTTACCAGAACTAATAAGTTAAACAGAAGTCTAGGTGACTGGTAAAGCTCTCAGGCATGTGCACATGTGCACTGCTGACCTATTGCACATGTGCATGACTGTGCAATAGGTCAGCAGTGTCACTTTTGCAACCTCCCAAGAATAGGAGACTGATTACTGATCAGAAACACTTTCTAAGATTGTAGCAGATTTACTTAAAGTTTGTGCAAATTTGAATCAACCAAAAATAATCTCTGACTTTCAAATCAACAATTTGCATTTTCAAGGAGACAGTCAAAGAATGCTTTCAAAAATGGTCTTCAGAACCACAAATAGCCTTTTCCAAGCTTTCAGTCAGAAAACCAAAGCATGATACAGCTCAAATCAAGCAAATCTATTGCTACCACTCATTATTGGATTAATCTGTGAAGCGATGCGAGGTGTGTGTGTGTAACATGATAGCTTTTTCATTATGTGAATTTTCAGTTATCAACTCATCGCTTTCTCAAAACCAAAAAAAAGGTCTTTGTATCGCACAAGAATGTAACATAAAGGAAACTTATGACACTGAATAACAGACACATAAGTTGCTCATTTTTTGTCTGTACACTCACAAAAATTGTATGTGCACATCTGACTACCCTGCATCTGAGTGTATGAAATGCATCTGCTAAGTTACCATATACGCAAGCAGCACTGTAGTAAACTGAGCAATATTTGCAGAGGATTGAAAAAGCAAGTGAGGTTTGGGTTGAGTTGAGTCAACCTGATCAAAACCTCCTTTGTTTCCCCCCCCCCCTCCCCTGCTATCTCACCATTGTTTTGCTAGTTCACTCTATTTTATTGACTTAATGCCTGGAACAGGTTAAAGTTTAAAAGATTGATGATACAACTGTACATTAGCAATCTGTACACAATACTTTCTCAGCATGTTACATTGTATATACATGTATCAAACAAGAGGCAAAAAAAAAAAAAATGGCATCAAACTCACCACCAGAATATTTTACCAGACTGTGTCATCAAGCCTGAAAAGAATTCACTACAGCTGATAGAGACAATTTCCTCTCCCTGAAGTTCAGCAAATGCACGTGCAGAATGAGAGAGCTCCTGAACTAGGGCAGGAGGATCTCCACAATTTGATTCTAAGAAGGACAAAAATCAAAGGCTTGATTTATAGGTACACTATTCGTGTAAACATGTACTGTTAATTTAAATCCAAATACAATTATCTTATGTATTCTTTATCAAACGAAATTGACAGTAAAAGTCAAGGTTGACAACCAGAAGCTTCTTCAAACGATTCATGTTTGTTCTTCAAACTGTTTGTTCTTCAAATTGTTTGTTCTTCAAACTGTCCTAAACAGGCACCTGGATTCTTGAATTTCAAATACATGTACTTATTCTACATTTGTGAAATTTTGTGGTCTTAAAGTGCATATGACACGAAATTTTTTTTCTCTTGTTTCTTGTAGTTTGATATCTATAGAAAACATTTTTGAGAAAGGGGTAAAACCATGAAATGGAAAGCAAATCAAACACAATCTTTGCAAGGCTGCTATACAGTACATTGCATGATGTCAAGTACATTACATAGATGTACATTAACTGTTTGATTTGTAATAATTGCTCAGTAATGGGTATTGCAGGTACAAGTATATTCAAACAGTCGAGGCCTAAGAATTATCAGAGGCATAATTATGCTTGTACACACATGCATCCCACAATTTTTCATTACCAAGAATACAGCAATACAGTCTTCCATTACAATTGTATTTTGTGCATCACATTGACTGAACACACACCTCTGAGAAGCTTATCGTAAAAGGTACAAATCTTTCCACTTGAAGTCACTAGTGAGCAGCGCACATTTGATGATGCCAGAAGACAAACTTCTTCACTGTCCAGCCCTAAAGCCTCTCCTAATGGGTGTGGTTTGGCCAACGGAAAGTAACTGGGTTCAAGTGAAGATGAAATCTCCATAGCAACATCACAAGCCACATCACTTTCATATGGCCAGTGATAAAGGATTCCTGTTCCTTTCTCAACCAGAACAAATTCTGAATGCATCGCTGTTATGTGTGAGAAAGCAACTTCTTGACCCTGAGAAAAGGGAAAAAAAGTGTTTGCTAGAATTGTTTGAAAGCACATACATGTAAAGCAGTAAAAAGTACAAAAATGTAAAGAAAATATTTTGTTAGTAAATTCAGTAAATGGATTATCATCATAAAACAAAAAGCTTTTGACATCCCATTCAACCCTATCAATATTGAGCCCCACTCTATGGTAAGCTTCCCCTGGGTTTTTTTACTGAGAGAGTTTATTTCCTTTATATGTTTTTCTCCCAGCTGCTGCACACGCAAGTTGTTTCAAGCTTATCCAATGACAAGAAAAACCACTAATTGTATCTTATTCTCTTTCTCCTTAGAACAAAAAGTGTACTTCTCTGCTGTGCAATATTGTTTGTGCCCCATTTTGATAAGATGTTTGGTGAGCTGATTTGAAAAGTCATGAAAACAGTGTATAGTTAATCAAGAAGCACAAAAGGAATTTATCACACAGGTCAAAGATTCAGTTGCCATTGAAGTATCAAATGCATGTAACCTTCTTTAGAACCCTCCTGAAAAAGATTTGATGCATTTCTGCAAATATTTACACCTGTTAATGCAACAAACTTAGAGCTCAACAAAAAAGGCAGTTAGTTCAATCACCACTGATCTTTCTTAAGAGAAAGCAATTCAGTGAAGACAGTCATCAGAAATGTTCATGAAAACTTTACATGGAATAGCTTCATTGATGATGCTTTTAATTCCCTAATCTTCTTTCCATTTTTAGTGTGTCACTAGCAAAAAGAAAATCAGACTCATTTCCCAATTTGAAACAGAATTGTATCCACAATGCAAAACAATATTTTCACACAGACGTGTAGTTGGAGGAGAATAGCATTATTACTGTTTACGTTCTCCACATACCGGTAGTTCCCTTTACGCTTCCAATGGTTCTGACAAAGACAATTTGTTTCAAAATCAAGAGCCTCTACAATATGAACCCTTTCATACCCAAGATCTCAGAAGCAGTTCTTCTCACTGTCTGCTATACAATTCATACAATGTTAAATTGGAGAATTTGGCATTGGATCAACTAATAATCCCCTAATTGGCATTTTTCTTTATTCTCATCACTTGTCTGCTTGATTCTGTGTTGATGCTGTTAGGAGAAATTCTGTCTTGGTCACTCATTGGAAGTTCAAGGATTCATGATTATTTCCTTTATTATTATGACCCTTTACATTTTGGTGAAACTGTAGGGAGATATTAAAAGCTACTCACTCTTGTACTTAAAGGATTAAGAAGTAAAGCCATTAGGGTTCTAGACATCTTAATATTTAAACAATAGCTATAGCTATTGAAAAATTGAGCTTGGAAATTCTGTGCAGTAGCCAGAGAGTTTTCCAATCTCCAATACCTAATAAACACCATGCGCACATGAAATCAGATTCTAAAGAGATCAAAACCAACATTTTTTCAATGAAAATGTCATGATGGGGACAGTTAAACAAAAACCCCTAAATGAGGTATTAGGGCATGCAACTTCACTCACATTTTCCACTTCCAGCCACTCCAAGTCACCAATTTCAGGATAGCAAAAATCTGCATCACTGCAGCTTGTGGTTTCACTATTCTCACCAGTGGCCCTCTCATCCTTCCGTTGAAAATTAGTTCTTCTGGGCCCTCTGGGCCCTCTGGAAAACACATACGCACCAGCTAATTGCTCAGCAAGATGAGCACGAACAACATGAGCTTGGAGTGGTACAGAAGACCTTCCAGACGTCCGATTTCCACGGCTGATGTATGGTGGAAATTGTTGCACAGAACCCACCACTGGTATACCATATGGAGGCCAAGGTCTGACCACTCCAGGAAGATTTGCTGCATAGAGTGTCCTGTGAAGAAAAGTGGGTCTAGAAACGGACCGACGAGAATTAGAACTTCTTGATGAAGCCCCTGATGAGGAATTATTTATGGAAACATTTCCTGAAGAGTTTTCCACCTCTTGACTACATTTATCTTGCACATTTGGTTTGGAAGTTCCAGCTGTTTCTTTGTTTTCTTGGTTAGTAAAATCTGAAGTTACTGAATCGTCCCCAACTGTACAACTTTCATCAGGATTTACGTTTTCATCGGTATTACAAGATTGCTTTGATTTATCTTTGTTTGTTTCGTGACTGCTTGATCCACCATTTCCTGGAGTATTGTTTGTTTGTTGTAGGTCCTCTCTTCCTGTCTGAGTTTCTTGATTAACTTGAGTTGTGCCATCATCAGCACTTGAACTAGGACCTGCTTTTGCCGACCATGGTTTTACCACACTTTGCCTTGTCCGATCACTAAGTAAAACATCTCCCGAATCATATCCATCGGAAGCACGAAATGACAAATTAAGAGAAGAGGTTGCTCCTCCGTGCACCAACGACCTGCCTGGTGAAGTCCTCTTTGTCCTGATCTCTTCATTCAACTGATTTTGAAGTTGTTTCGCATACACTTCGTCGCTTTTCACCTGAAATATTGGTTCCTCTGAATAGTCTTGTGAATTATTCAACGTCTGTGTACTTTCCGAATTTCTTGAAACACATTTCATCCTGCAAACACGGCCATCATGAAAGAGAAATCCTATAAACGCGGGGCCAACCGCAACTTGGACGATCTTGCCCGTGCCAAAGTCTGGCAAAGTGACACAACTTTTCGCTTTTTCCAAGTCGCTGTTACCGACAGTTGATTCATTCAGGACCTTCTTAATATACTTGAATATTTCATCTTCAACGGTATCTTTGGATTTATCCTTTCCTAAACGGACGAAAATGATGCGAGGAGATAAATTTGTCCTTGCATCAAGTTCGTGATAGCGATCCGCCATACTTTTTGGCTTCATAGAAGGCGAAACTAGTTCCAGGCTCCGCGCGACTGGAAAAATGTGCGTGTAATGCACGCGTGATACTCGAACAGAGTACAACCTCCTTCGCATTAGACGATTGCACTCCAAATTTGTAATTTGGGATCATTTTGTACGTAGCCATAGCATGTTTGTTTCGTTCTTTGGTCGTTGTTCAGCTTGTTGTATTTCGGAAGTATACCGATGCTCTATGCCATAGTCAGTTTCCTTCTTAGAGGAAACAGGACCGAAAAAAGCTGCTTCATGTGCATTGATTTATTGTGCTTGAATGGTTGTGCCATTCCAGTCCATCACTGCGAAGCCATTTCAGGTTACCTTTTTTGGGATAGAGGACAAAATTGCTTTAAATCCAGTTGTCCTTGTATTAAAAAACTGATAAACGCTTTTATATTTACTTCTTCAACGGGGGACGCTGCTAATGAGTTGTCAAGCAATTCCTTCTCAGTATTCATTTTGTTTATCTGACACTCAATCGTACCACATTAGGATATCATCTGTCACGGTGATTTGTTTCTAAACAGACCCAAGACAACATGAAAACTATTTTTTGTAGTAGAATTTTACCATTTTGATTTTAAATCGAGTATGGTTTTCAAGTGAACCAAAGCTACTTCAAATAGACGATAGAGAATTAAAAGCAAGTGATCAAAACATATCATTCGCGCCCACCTTTGCCAATTCTTGACTTACTAACGAAAACATAGCTTAATTTCGCAACAACTAGGCTTAATGGTTTTTCAAACCAAGTACAATTTTCAGCCTGAGGCCAGGTTTGAAAACAGGTGCGGATTTCAAAGGCTAAGTGTCTAGCCCACAGAACCTGCCACGTTTACGGAGGACGGACCCAGCAAGTACAGGGGTGACTTCCTACCAAGATAGGAGCTCCCTCGATCCCCCTACAAGTCCTCATCTGCTTTTCCAGGTGTTGGGAACATAAATATTCCTCGTCCGCCCAGTCCGTCGTCGGGGCAGGAAAATCAAGGCTGATGTTTAAGCCGCATGCAACATTCCTGTCATTTAACTGAAACAACTCTCAGTTTCAAGAGAGTGGTATATTTGATTGCACAATCCTGGAGAGAACCTCGTGATTTTATTCTTCGTTAAAGATAGTATATTAATGAAGAAACAAAGTGATAAAATAGATACATTAATGAAATAAATAACTAAATATGAAGAAACAAATAATTAAACGAGAGATGGGTTATTATACAGAGAGTTAAAGGGTTATTAATGATTGAAACCTTAAAAGCTCTAAGTAAAGAAGTGGAATTCTCCTTCTGAACTGCTGTAAAATTCCTTAAGATAATTTCATGTGTGACATATGGGGAGCCTCTTATAACTTGCAAGTTCATCTTTTTTTGTCACTTACTGGCTGGATGGTGCATCAATCTTTTAATAGAAGTTTCATCCTAATCACTTCTGAAATCATTCTATTATCCGTTGTCTCACACCACTTCCCATCCCCATGCCCCCTCCTTTCATTCAGCACCAATGAGATTCGTTTCTTGTAGTTCGAACATATCCTCCTCCGAATCACTCTACCCTATTGTTGTTGTTGTTGTTTTTTTTAATGAATTCCTCTTGAATGGGACTGCTTCTTTAATTGCAAATTGTTCGTTTGTTAATCGTTCGTTTATAATTCGTTCGTCCCTTCTGAAACAGCAGTTGTAAGCCGTTTCCTAAGAACTTACTGATCACCATAATTTCATCGTTCCTAATCTCATATGTGAAAGTATCGAAGCAAAGTAACAGAACCACAACCATCGCTGTCAACAGTACGTTATCACCCACCCCTCCCTCTCCTCTCAATGCAGCCCCAGCTACTCCTCCCAGAGGCTTTCACAGAAGAACCGAGTTCATACCACTTAAGAAGCTCAAGGAAAATGGATACAAAAAGCAGAGAGTCAACTTTGAAAATCGATCGAAGAGCAAAATAAAATTTCCCATTTCGCCACGCAAAAACTTTGCCTTGGTCATCTCAACACGAAGCTTCGACAGGGGCATTGGACAAAAAAACGCCCAAGGTGGATTTTGAGACCTTCGATTCGGATCCTGTCACGCTCTGCTCAGCTGAGGAATGCACGAGGTCGAAGGCATGTTGGCGTGACGTTGAAAGGTCTCACAAATGCGAATGTGACGGGGTAGAATGCAGGGGAAGCTGGGAACTGAGTGTTCATGTTGGAAATGAAGACTATAAGGATATAAAAGGTGGGTCACATCACATCATGCGAAAATACAAACTTCAAGGAAAATATTTCTGACGGAGTACCCTGTGAGCTAATTATGACCCAATTATGGCCCAATAATGGCCTAATAATGGCCCCGTAGTGGCCCGATGATGTTCAGATCACCCACCGAATGTTTTAAAATGGAAGAGTGCTGGTAAATGCTTTGAACCTACGATAGCGGAAAACGCGACCAAGTTGCGACCAGTTTTGTATAAGATTGGTTGAGAAGCACGCAAGTTTTTTAATTTTGTTTTGTTTTGTTTTGTTATGTTTTGTTTTGTTTTGTTATGTTTTGTTATGTTCTGTGTTTTTTTCTTTTTTCATAATAAGAGAGTACAGTGAGGCAACTTGACATTTTTTCCCTTGTAGATGTGTTTGAATGGGTCGTCATTTCCATCTCCCCTACAAGTCTTATTGTGGCGATTATTGTCCTTCTCTTAAAAAGGAGACTGGGTCGCAGTAACGTCAGGCCGTTACACGTACGCACTGTGTTATATTACCAAAACGAGCCTGTCGAGAGCGCATCCCCCAATCTAAATACTGAAAACCGCCTCATAAGAGATAAGGCCGGGTGCCGCAGACTTGCAGATCCAGGGGAAGAAAACATGCGCTATATTGATATTAGTGGCGAGATAAAACGAGGCAAATAAGATCATCGAGACATCGTAGATTGGATTGACTTATACACCGACTCGGAGATCCCAGAACACTTCATGAAGAAGCAACGGGGAGGAACCATTCTTTCATCCCGACCAAGTCTTCAAAGGACCATCATTTCTACTGACAGAGACCTGAAACGTTCAGCCATTAATGCTGCGGAATTTTTATGGAGATAGGGCCAGATGATGAATCAGAAGCTTATTGAAGTTGTAAACGTATTTGCATAAAGAGTAGACAATGAAAATTAGTGCAAAAATTACATTTCAGTCGAATAGGTCTTGAGCAATGGAATAATGATTAATTACTTCAATTTCTTCCATTGTCAACATTTTTCAAAGTAGGAAGTTATTGTATTGATTAGAATTCTATTAAATTACGAACATTCAAATTATGGCCTTAGTTTTCTTGTTCGTGTAAATGAAAAGTGTACAACTGTCGCTCTCCCCTTTGCATCTATCTTCAGTATCTTGTACCCGGCATAGGTATCTGTGAGTATACCTTGAAAGCTTCGAAATACATCACCATTACTATTTTGCATCCCAACCTCCTCCTACGCAATGCTGATTTCAGAGCTTCTAGTCTGATGGAAGATTTTAGGAGAAACAAAGGACCCTGTTTAGGGAGGGGGTCTAAAAACAGCACATTGATTTGTTTACGGGTGAAATTTGTTATAAACGCATTTTGTATTAAAGGTTCCCCTAGACGAGAGCGTAATTGTTATTGTCGCCTACGACAGAAAAAAAAATTATAAATTAAAAAAACGTTGATGAATAAAGCAGGACATGTGATGTCTTCTTTCAAAGATAAATTGGCGGTAATAGCGAGAGCTGCTCTGCCCAAAAGTCATTGTCGAAACGATGAATTCTCGTTCAGTTCTCGATTAAAAAGGTTGTTTTGTCCAAAATACAAATTGCCTAAGGCGAAGCTTTTAAGCTAGCATTACATGGAATTATTAATTATTGTTCCTCTGCATTGCGCTCTTTAAGACTCGTGAATTATTCCTAGTCATTCTAAGCGTCATAATGATTATTTGCGGTCATGCGTTCTGTGAAAAATAATCAATTATTGAGTCCTCGAGACTCTTCGCTTCGAAGAGCATTTTTTTACCTAAAGTCATATAGCAAGAAAAAAAACATTTTCTTTAGACAAAATTTGAAAGATGATTCATACAACATTTGAAAAATGCACAGAGAAGTCGACTTCGATTAAGCTTCAAGGAGATGTTTTTCAATATTAGTGGGTGTCCATGGAAACAAAATTTTAGAATATTCTAGTTTAAACAGGTGCTCGGTGGCATACGATTAAGTCACAGACCAAAATGATAAAGAATCCCTCTGGAATAAAAATGTCGCCGAGAAAATTGCACGTATAGTAGTATCGACGCAAAACCATCAAAGCTAAATTTAAAGAAAATCTGGATGGAACGAAAGTGGTTTGAAAAAAATGTCTTCCTGACGAAAACTTTTCATTAATTTTCTGCTTAGTGTAACAAAATTTGACGAGAATTGAAGAGTAAACACCCGATTAAAAAGGACGGTGACGTAAGAGCTTACGAGGGAGAGCAGGTTACACGATTGTTTCGAGCGAATCACAACGTAAACATTTCCCTCAGCCAATCTTCATAAAAGTAGATCGAAATCCAGAAAATTGTAAACAGGTTGGATGTTGTAGCGGATAAGGCAGTCCAGACAAGAAGAACTCAACTTGCAGTTTTGCCTACGAAATTTTATCCACAAAAAATTGGGTTTTCAATCGTTTTTCCCGCTTATGGCTAATGACTGTGCGATATTTCCACCTCAAATGAGCGGATTGCAGATTTTCTGGCCTTCCAACGATATGTATATGGGTTGCAGCCCAAATACGCTGACACAGCTGCAAGAGAAGGTCTTGAGATCGTTATCTAAGAGACAAGAGGATGAGAATTTACAAGTGGTTCCCGAAAACAACAACGTTTTCAGCGAGGATTCCTTGAGTTCCTGTCGATTGACGCGCGAAACCCAAGACTTCTCCAGCTCAAATCTGCCGCCTTTTTATCAAGACGAAAACAAACTCAGCGTTCATTTTCCATGGAGTCCAGGATTGCATAAATCACCGTTATCGAGTACGTGTACATCTTTAGAACCCTTAAGCACTCCCACATTTCCGTTTTCGCCGCTTTTGAGGAGTCCAGGTTTTATTTCGGCGCCCAGAAGTCCACTAGCCATGATGGTGTTAAGCCCATTTGGACGTAAGCCTTCCGAAGATCTCTCCATGTACTTGCCAGAGAATTTCACTCCAGCAGCGACGTTAGAGCGCCTTGAGCGATCTATCACCAGTACAGTCTTCGAGTTTCCTTCTGTAGAACGAGATCAGGATGAAGCCAAGGAAACAGAGTGCAACGGGAACGAAAAGGAAATTGCTGACAAGATGGAGAACGACGTTGAAGGCATTAATTTTTATGGGGAGGAGGAAACTGGCTCGTATTTAAACACACAAGAGGTATTTCTTGATTTTAGGGGTACCGAGTACTTTGGAGGTACTGAGATAGTTCAAGACAACTTTCAAAAGATGCCTAATTTGAAGAGGAATAAGGAGGGACAGAAAAAAAGAACCAAAAAAGACAATATCGACTGTTTCCTAGGGATTGGTTTTAGGAATGGACTCGAACGAAAGCGTCGAAGCGAAATGAATTCTAAATATGACAAGTTGAGGAGATGTGTACCCGAGCTGGAGAACAAACAGAAAGCTTCGAAAATATTAATTCTCAGAACCGCGGCACAATACATCAAAGAAATACAGAAGCAGGATGAACTACTGAGCAAGCAAAAAGACTTAGAAAAACGCAGAAATGAGGAACTCCTGAAAAAGCTTGTAAAAATAAATTCGTAGTCCAAGCGACAAACATGAATTTTGATAACTGAGGAACTATCACATTTGCTGATACTTTGTATTTCATTAAAATTTAAAAAAAGCTACCAACAGACGATTTTTGTATGTCTCATGTCTTGTTTCTTGTCGGCGAGGCTAAGAGAATTTCTTTAAATTAATTTAGACAGCATTCAAAATGCTTTTACTGTTCTTTACTTTTTAAAACTTGGTGACAGAAGAAAGTGGGCAGAGTTTCGTCCTGTCGTAAGCGTCTCTGGGTAACGTTAACTTTGGACAAGCATTCCGCCCACACGGACGAGAACTTTGGCTTCGAAACTAACTTTGACGCCAAACAAACTATCAGACTTCTTGTCAAGTTTTTCTGCATAAAAGCCCAGGACAGCTTCAATAGATATGTGACTTGTATTTGTTACCTGTCGGAGAGATCCAGAATTTTACGGAAAAAAGATAAATTGCATCTTTATTTTCCTAAAAGTATAAGGCTCTTGTAGTCGCTTCCGGTATAGATTCACCCACGGGCAGGATTTCGCGACTTCTTAATGAGATGTCAACCCAGATAAAGACAAACAAATACTTTTGGAGTTATGATTGTTTTGTTCAGTAAAGTAAAGACAGCTGTTTTATGATACGCTTTCCTCCCACGAGACAAGGTCGAAATTTGGTGCGAACGTGGGACAAAGGGAAGTTAAAAGTCTTCCGTGTGGCATTTTTGCTTCTGGTAATTCCCACTTCGCGCGCGCTCGAAAATTTCACCATTTTTAAAGCAGATAGCTCGATCGCCATAGGTGTCATCATCATCATCAGTCATCTTCGTGCTCTGTTGCCTTTCATTTCAGAGATCTCCTGTAGCTTGAGTGATCGGCATGAATTTTCTGTTTTCTTCTTTTTTTTCTTGGTTACAGACTCAGAGTAATTTTCAGCATCTTTACCCCATAACTCCAAAGATCTGTTTGTTAATTCTCCCCTCTAGCTGCTACACATTTCCTTTAGAATTAGTTACGAGAATTTGGTGTTAGATTAATGTAACAACTTCTAAAAGATAGGTTTGAGTAATGTCATTACCTGTTTGGTGGATAATGTATGGACATTATAAGGAGAGGTTACTTGTTTAAGATCACTCCTGGGTCGAAACTGTGCGAAAATTCTTGCGCCCAGGGCTAGGGGCCTGTTTCTCGAAAGTCCCGGTAACTTAACGGGCACGAAGCCATGTTTTAAAAGCAAAATTTAAAGGAGAGGAAAGCAGGTTCTGGCACCCAAACCAGTCCTTTTTGTCTCTTTAGCCGATAGTTTTATTGTATCATTTTCAAAACTTTCGAAATCCCCATCTTGAATGAAGACAGAACAGCTTTACGGGCCCGTTAAGTTACCGGGACTTTCGAGAAACAGGCCCCTGCAGGAGTTGAACAGGTGGGTTGGCACAAACCCTAAAATGAGTTCCGAAGGGTATCCCCGTCCCCGTCCCCGTCCCCGTCCCCGTCCCCCAGTCTAGTTCCAAGTTGCCATTTGTAGTGAGGTTAGTAAAAATAACTGAACAAACCACGATGAGAGGGTGGATCGTGTTAATGTTTTTCTGTTACTGGAGTGTTCACTAAATTACCAAGAATTACGCTAACTACAAATATTTTCGTTTGTTTATGTCAGTTCTAGCCTTGGAAGGTTAGGATCATTTGTCGCTGGAGCTATCATTGTTACGCTCAGCTGATCAAAGTCAGCGATACCTTTGCTATACCCGAATTAGTAGTTGTTGATGTGAAAGAAAACACTCACAAACAAAACATGAAGAAGAAGCTTTGAACTCAGAGATAAATTCCATTGTCAAACTAATTTCAGGGCAAAAGTTTCGTGCAAATAATTGATACAGTTGATTGTGGAAACAAACTGGTAAATCGAAAACGAATTAACAAGACTCTAAAATTTAATTAAACTCCTTAACGGCCTTAACGTATTTATTGTAAGTAGACTTGAGATTAACGAACTTGACTCTGATGATAACTTCCGCTCTGGCTACCGAAACATTCGTCTTTGTCAGAATCAACAGATTTTTCTTCTTTAAGAATACCCCACGAACGAACACACTGTACACAACTGTTCAAATTCTGTTCTGAATCTTTAAATGATTATACAAAGATTCTTCCATGACTTTCATAAAATTAAGATCGAAAACTGCCCTGACTGAAATCTGTTCCTATCTCTTCTCGAATTTGTTCAGAGTCTAAAGGAAAAACTTCCATCGTTAATTGGAATCGCCTGTGAGAAGAAAGCAAAAATTTCAGATTTTCCACTTTACTAACTCTTAAAAAAAAGGTGAAAGCGTCAAAACGACCGAAGTTTGAGTTTGGTTACAAAAAGTTTCTTACTGCTTCCGTCACTTTCTGGATGTTTTGTAACACACTGCTTGTTCGATTTCGTATGTTGTTCGATTTATTCATTTATAAAGCGATAATGTTTCCTTTCCCGTAAGAATTTCCTTTTCCTTTCAATGCATTACTTCGGTTACTTCCTGACAACTATGACATATAAACCAAAATTTGACCGATAAGGCTTTTTAAATCTGATATATAACGTCTGGATCATTCCATTCTCGCATCTCAATTTAATTTGCGACAGAAAAGAACTCAAATGATACGCCACGCAAACGTCTCAGCCTTGCTAAAGATAGGAATTTGAAGAGCAGGTTAAGAACTGAACGATCTATAACTCTGTCATCCTTTAAAAAGTTCGCGCGAAGTAGAAGAGATATCTCTTTAAAATTAAATTTGTACCGTGTGCGTGCCTACATTTCTTAAGCGTGTCGAAGTCTTGCGTTTTATATCACGAACTTTCAGCTTATTTCTTTTGATTCCGCTCAAAATGCCGTGCATGAAGTTTTTACGTGCGTTTATTAGTTTGGTACAAATATAATTCGGCTGCGGCAAATATCTGATTGATATCAGAACATCAATATTTTTAGAATCCATTCATTTAAATTATGTTAAACACGTTTGCGAAGCAGCGAGAAAGTCGATGTTTCGCACGAAAATGACTTGATCACGCGATCAAAAATATCTTCAGTCCCAGTTCAGAACATTTCCAAAGAAAGCTTCCTTCGAACTTGAAGGCTATAGGGAAGTATTTCTTTACACAAAATTTTGAAATATCCAAAACGGATCGGGGGCAACCTCATGGTTAAAACTGAAGCAATCAATTGCTATGGCAACGTGCTAATATATTTACATGTGTTTCTCGTATGCTTAGCATCGTGAACGCGACCATTCCAATTTAGAACTCACGACACATTGAAGCAAAACGGATCATACATTGATGATGCGTTGTTCGCACGAGTCTACTGAATAGCCTTCGAGACCAAAAGCGAAGTCAGAGGAGAGTTGACTCATTTTACCGTTGTGTGTTGATCAAAATGTTTGCTTTGAACGACCAGTCAGCGATGAACGTACGGACCGAAGAGGACGTCGATTATTTATTCCTTGCAAGCACTGACTCTTCTTCTTCGTCAGAAGATGAGGGTGAAAGCGGTGATATCTTCAGTGTGAGCTGTCACAGTAGCCACTTTAAAAGGATGAAGGCCGAGCCGGAGCAATGCAATGAGTTCGCCATAAAACGAAGAAAGTTTTACACGCAGCTTAAACTCCTCGATTCAGATCTAATGTTGATGACAGTTGGCGTAAGCAAACCAAGGAGCGCTGTCGAAGAATCGTCACTTCGTCCAGTTCGACGTCCGAGGCAGTCCCGCGGAGTAAGAAAATGTCGAAAAACACTTATGCAAGATAAACATCCATCGATGGATAGAAAAATTAATTCCTGACATTTTGCATCGGCTACGGTTGACTGCTATATTATGATCGAGAACGACTGAGCAAAACTGTTTACGCAAATTTTCACTTGGCAGGAAGGAATTGCGAACTTCTTCGACAGCTTGCAACTAGCAAGTTTTGTCTGTCACAAGAAATCTCTTTTTTTCTAAGGAAGACACTTCCCAACGGATTGATCATTACAGAAGGATTTAAATTTCCTAATTGAAGGACAAACTGTAAAGTAAAGAATAGACACGAACCTTCACAGTTCGAGCATAGTGGAGAAAGAAATAACACTATGTGAAATTAAGAGACTTTAATCTCAGAGAATATTATTGAAAAATATGTATATAGAGATAAAAAAAGAAAAAAACACATATATACTATTTATTCAAGTATTTATTTCTAAAAATGACGATAAAATCGGCAAATATGATATGAATGTTAAAATAGAAAATGAGTTAATAAATTTTTAGCTGTTCTGAGAAATTCTCAAGTGTTCGTCAATTAAAACTGACGCTTGCAGTCTCATGTTAGGTTGACTAACGTGTGAAATACATCCTAGTGAGTTTAGCATTTTATACATTGGAAATATTCAATCCGAGTTGTCAGAAAGCAACTGACGACCAAAACAGTGACACTACCGAATTACTATTTTGTTTTGGTTACAACCACCTTTGCGAAGTCACGCTGCTACCAAAAAACATTTTAGTTCTAACTGATTTGCTGACAGATATGGACTAACACTAAAGCATTCTTTCAATCGAAATATCTTTTCAAAAATGAATTAGGCAGAAAGTTATTCATTGTTTTGTCATGTTACCACGAGTGCGTAAGAGTTGTTTACCTGTTTATGGTCTGTTTGTCACGTTGCTAAGGAAACCACTTGAATATGCATAGTGAGTGCAATTAAAAGGAAAATCACAAGATCGAGAAGGAAAAAACAGAAAATAAAGCAAGGTAGTGAACGCTGATGTCGTTGCAGTCAACTTTTCCGATAAACACCTCTCCTTTTCATCCGTATGGAAAAATAATACTCAATATTTTTTGATACTTAGACATTGACGAGAACGTCAAGACTCCGTCTATGTCACGTGGTAATTTGTATCACTCTCGTGGGATATCACATCATCCCGGCACAGAAAGCCTGATTGTGGTCGGTAAACTATGTTTGCTTACGCAGCACTGAACATATGTGATTACTGTATTGTTGTTATGGTTTTTGATCACGTTTGTATGAACCAAATCGTAAGGACAGATGATGACTTATGTTATGAATTGAAATTCGTCAGCGA